GGTCTCTACTACGAACACCACTGGGAAGGCTTCCATGAGGCTGCGGTGCAGACCAGCTCTGAGACGTGGCCGAATGACGATGCGTGGACCCTCAAACCCGCGCCGAAACCTCTGCACCATAGCAAAGACGATAGACCTCGCCGCAACTGGGGTTACCCACGCAAGCGTCGTCGCCTCGCACCACCCGAGTCCGACGTCGAGTCTGAGGCGTCGAACTCAGAAGACGACTTCCATGGTTCCCAAGCCCCCTCTTCCTCCTCTACCGACGAAGGCGACGAAGACCATGTCTCCGACGAAGACCGCGCTCCGCGGACGCCCTCCCGTCGCAAGCGCGGCGCGGTCCCGCGTACCCCTCACACGCCACAGACCCCACGGACACCGCGGGCGTGTGCCGGCCCAACTGGCTCGCCATCTTCGCAGCAGTAGCAGTCCTTGTCGTTGTACCTGTGGTTGTGCTGACTCTGTCGGGGCGCCCACAGCGCGAGGTGCTCTACCGGCAGAGGTGCCAGCGCGTCTGGCAGCCCTGTCTGCAGAATCAGTCAGCCCAGTCAACGCGCAGTGTGCACGTCACACACTCACCAGCCACTGCCACCTGTTCGAGTCTTCCTTCGCCTGTTCCTCCTCCACCCTGAGCACGAGCGACCGCACGCTCGGCCCCTCGCGCGCCAGCCGCGCCCACAGCGTCCCCCCGCCGAAACCGGCGCCGCCGACGGTCACCGCGCACGCGAGGCGCACGGGCACCGCCGTGCGCACCAGCGCGTACATCGCTTCCGAGTAGTCGGCCGCCGCGCCGAGCTCCTCGTCGTCGGAGTCGAATCCCTCCTCGGGCTCGTCCCCGTGCCCGAGCACGCCCTCGAAGCCCGGCGGGATCCTCCACGCCGGGCCCTCGCACCCCGTGCGCAGATCGAGCGAGGCGAGGTTGAGGACGTCGCAGCGGGCGGCGCGCGCCGCGGCGTACGGCAGGTCTTCGGCGGCGCGGACCTTGAGCGTGCGCAGGCGGGCCACGCGCGCGCGCGCGGGTCGTCGGCGTTGTGCGCCTGCGGGGTAAGGTCGAGGCGGAGGATGATGTCGAGAGAGTCGAGGTTCGGGCAGCAGGCGACGAGCATGTCTGCGCAAGGGATTTCAGCGTCGTTGATTTGTAGGCGGCGAATGGAGGGGAAGGTTGGCTGGGATGTGACGTCTTCTGTCGAACCGTGTCCGAGAACGGAGAGGTCTTGGAGATGCGGGAGGCGAGATATGGCGCGGAGGAGGGATGCAAGGGATGACGAGTTACTGAAGCAGAAGCTGAACACCCTGACGCTAGGCGGAAGGAGGAGTCCCGACTCGAGGACCGCCTGATCAACCTGATTTTCAAGGTGAAGGACATGAAGTGAACTCAGGGAGCGTAGCGCAGCGTTGAGACAGGAGGAGTCCATAGTGATGTGTGGGAGGAAGCTCCGAATGATTAGAACGCGGAGGTTTGTGGCGGCAAGAAGTACCTCGCCGAGAAGATCTCTGTCGGTCTCGTGTTCTTCCCCAGTCACGACATAGACAGGGAGAGATTTCTGAGGTATCTTGCCCTCACTTGACGACCTCCTACGGTGTTGTCACCCAGCAGGTATCGGTGTAGTCCGCGAAACATTGTGAAACTGTAGCATTCGACAAAAGCTGCAGCCTGGTGAATGGCTAGGTCGTATGCTGCTTTCGAGGTAAGCGAAAAGCTCAAAGCGTCGCCGCCGCGAAGGTGTAAAAGGATGGTGTGCAGGATGTCGTGGTTTAAAAGGGACAGGGTCCCAACACCCCCAGTTTCTTGTATCATCTGCGAGGTGGTGATCATCTAAGCATATCGACCGTGGATTTGAATGAACAACTCACGTCTCTTTGTATGGGAGCATGTGCTGGCGGCAGGATGCGTTTGGACTGAGAATCACTAGGGGTTATGTATAGGAGTCTTCATACAGGCCCAGACGGCCGACTCCCTTAAGGGGTTACAGCTGGGTCCAGACTCCATGCCGCGAGGCGAAAATTAACACAGTCGGGTCGGGCGGAGTTTGATCTCGGCGTGTCTGCCGAGGATTCGGCAACTGTCGGCGTCGTTCACATCGCTCTTCCGACGCGTCTCCTGCGCAAGTGTCCTTCGAAGCGCTCTGTCCGGCTAAACTCCGCCCGAATTATCAACTGTGCTTATGTTCGCGCGAGGGTCTATCGTTATGGACCCAGCTGTAGGGTTAGTGGAGTATATCTCGCCCAGGACCCCGGAAGGTTTGTGTTCGATGCCGACTCGACAGATCGAGCGGAATGATATCCGCGCGCACTGCGACATGCATTACGAGCACTAGCTACTAGTGTCTAGTGCACATGGTTCCAGGACCAACTCACGTTATATACTCCATCGCGCAGCTCTCCGTCTTCAAGTTCACGGGCCCACATCTTCTCAATCTCCCGCACGCCCTCTCTATCCGTGATCCGGAACCACCAATATCGGGGCGCGGAGAGTGGAAGTCGGGTGCGCGTCCGGAAGAACAACGGGTGTTTTCGTGTCGGCGTCGGCGAGGTAATGCAGGTACGGCAACGCATCGACGAGCGGCCGGTACAGCACCCTGAGCGAGCCCAGAGTCACGCGCGGTCCAGCCTCCTCCCCGTCTGCGCCGTCGCTAGTGTCACCGCGCGCCCGCGGCACCTACAGCGTGAGGTGCTCAGGCGGCAGCGCTGCCAACGCCGCCGGCACATCCGTCTGCTGGTGTCCAGCTGAAGCGTACCGGCTTCTCTCCCGCCCCGTGCGCGTAACTCACTAAATCACGGGACGCCAAGAACTACTCCGGCACTTTGCCAAATCGTTCACGCACACAAGTATATGGTCTCGAAGGGCATCGATCGCACCGATTGCCAGTGGGGGCGTCAGAGCGCCTCAAAATCCATCCGTTGTACTGTACATACAACGCGCACGGCCAATCCAGTCCGTATTAGTAGTCCATGTCCGTTAAGCCAGAACCACAAAGTCCATCGCCACCGCTCACGCGCTTGCCGCCGCCATGCTACCCCTCCTGACCTTGACCATCCTCGCCTTGACCTTCTTTGCCGCAGCGGTCGCGCTCGCCGCGGCGGACGCCGTCCCCGTCGCCACATCGGACGCTGATGCGGACCCAGCGACGTCGGAGGCAGAGGCGGTCCCAGAGACGTCGGAGGCAGAGGCGGACGCGGATGCAGCCGCCGCCGTGCCGGACGCAGAAGCTGACGCGGGCGCAGCCGTCTCTGATGCGGAAGCTGGCGCGGACGCAGCTGTCTCTGACGCAGAGGCGGACGCGGACGCAGCCGCGGACGTGCCAGCTGCGGCCGTGCCGGACGCGCTGGCCGCACCGTCCGCGGACTGCTGAACGACGACGCAGTTCCCGAACCCGCCCGCCGTCTTGAACGAGACGATGCACTTGCCGCCCGGACCGGAGCAGGTCATCCCCGCGGGGAGCTGGACGGTGAGCTGTTCCGTGCCCAAGCTCTTCGGGGACTGAGAGAGGGGAGCGTGAGTGGGAAACATCGTCAGCGGGGCGCTCGCATCGGACAAGGGAGACGGGCTGACCCTGGTGCCGTTCTCGACCATCGTCGCCGCGACGAAGCTGTCCTTGTCGCCCGTGCCGGTCGGGTCGACGAGGACCTTTGCGATCTCGCGCGAGCCGTCGACATTCCTGCAGACAGGACGTATCGTGTCAGCCCAACGGGGACGAGCGGGACAGAGACAGAGACACAGAGAAAGAACAACGCACTTGTTGAAGTTGGTGATCGGGGCGGTGAAGGTGCCGTCCGCGGCGACCTGGATGGTGTCCGAGGACTCCATCGTCGAGGCGACGTCCGTCTTTCCACACGGCTTCTGGTTCGAGGGCCGCTGCACGTCCGAGCGCGCGGGTGTGCCGCTCACACCGAGCACGGGCGAGACCGCGGCGTGCGCGTGCGCCTGGAGCGCGGCGCCGAGGACGGCGGTGAAGGCAAGGAAAGTCTTGGAGAAGAGCATGGTAGCGGTGGTGGAAGTGGTGAGAGGCGAAAGGCGTGGAGTGAAGAAGGTACGGTGGAATGAGGGTCCGGCCTCGGGATGTGCTAGATGAAGAAGATGGGGGCGGAGGAGGTGAGCAAGCTGAAGATTGACAGAGGGCAAGAGAGGGCTTTATACATGACCGAGAGCGGGCCCATCCAAGGCTGAGGGCTCAGCGAGCGGGCACGGTCTGCCCGCACGCGCTCATCGGAAAAGCGTAATCGAAGCGCGCGGGTCGAACGAGCGACGGTATTGGCCGAGGGGCAGAATACAATTGCTCACCAGGTCTGGCGTCTGTAACCCGCTTCCTCCACTCCGCTTTGCGACGGGCAACAGGGGCCGTATCCTAGAAACCACGCTACAGCGGGGAAGAATTTCCACGATTCTCGAGTCTCCCGAGTGCGACTCCAACATGCATAGAGTTCCTGATCGACGGGGTGCGGAATGGCTCCTCCAGGCGTTGCTACGGCTCGTCTGGCAGATGGCCAACCGGCGAGCACTGACGGCGCGGGAGAATCAGCCATGCACATACTCCGCACTCTGTTCAGAACTTCGCATACATCCATCCCACTGCAGACTATGACAGTAGCGTGGTATATTCAGAAAATCGGCCGCCGTCGGAATTGGTGAAGCGTGCTGATAATGCTGGTATACCACTCCAAGTCACGACGTGCAGCGACGACCTGGCCCCTGGATGTGGACGGGTTGCATCTCCAACCGGCCAGGACGCATTGAACGGGACGATAGAGACGTAAAAGGCTCACCTCAGGGTCATGGTGGACGCCGAGAACGGTGTTGGAATGAGAAGCCACACCGTCAACAACGAACGCAAGCATCACCACACATGCGCCGGTATGGATGACACCAGGGGGTTTCCATTACTCCGCAGGTTTCATTCGAGCCATCCAAGGCTGGGAACCCGACAAGCTCGAGCCATATTGCAAGGAGGGTGTTCGGAGAAGAGCTGAGAGCAACGCAGACGCTGCCAGCTGCTGCGAGCTCGCGGTCTGGCTGCGCTTTGCTGATTAGGCGCTGATATGAGGTCGTTGGTTCGATTCTCGGATTGGCCATCACCTTGGTGGTACTATTTTGCACACGACGCAGCGAGCAGATACGGTCAGCAGCACTCCGCAAAGGTATGTACAACTATCACAGTGTAACCTTGAGCCCCGATCTCACATCAAAGCCTCCTCTCCGAACGAGCTACGCGCCCTCCCTGCTGAGTATCTCTCGACGGGCGCTTCTCTCGTACCCGCCTTTCGGGATCTTCCCGAATGGTATGAGGTGCCATCGACTGCAGAAACATCAGAACAGAATTCGGTGACTTGAGGACCGCGACTTGCCGACCGTTGGGGCCCATGCCGTGCGCGCGCGAGTAGGCTTCCCACCCGAGCACTGCCCTCGCTTGTTCTTCGCCGCGTTCGAAAAATCCACCGAACTCAAGGCTGCTTCGATGTATATCTTGCGTAGCTACGGGAGCGTAGCGCTCGCGCCCAGGACGGCTGGTTTCCCACAAACGAGACATTTCCGCCTGACGACATTCTAACTCGAAGGCGGTCTAACATAGCCGAGCGCCGATGGCACGCCTTCTGGTGGGGAACCTGTGCACGACTCACCGGCGAACTCGGGGCTGTGGATCGTTGTCATTCATGGTTGGCTCCATGAGCACGGTGAGTGAGCGCTCTAGATGCTTGTCCGTCGCGGGTTGCGCGTAGATGTGGAGCCCTGACGGCTGAGGCTGCTTCGAACTCGGTTGAACGTTCTTCCACAACATTTGCCTCTCATCCATCTCTGTACCTAAGGCTGTCGGCGCTGTCCACGGGGTCGTCAGAGGCGTTCGAGGCGTTCGAGCTTCCACTGCCCAGTCCACGCCTTTGTTCTGCCGGACACTGGCAGACACACTCCTACTCGTCGCGTGCTTCACGTACGCGCGCTCCTTCGGTCCGGCTCTCCGCTTCTCCAGGTGTCGCGATCCCGGGAACGCAGCTATTCATGCCAGTGGCTGCTTTCACAGGATATGGGCTGTCTAGGGGAGAATACCGCGTTCGATGTCACCCGCGGGTTCGTCAGACCCTGCTCCTGCGGACTGCCGTCAGCCTAGGCACGCGCACCGTGCACCGGACCATACGACATGGGCGCGACAAGTGCCAGACTCCAGTGGCGCGATCGATACGTCGCGTGCGCATGAATCTTTTCACGAACGATTATGAGCGCACTCGCCGAGGACGATGCAAACGCGTGAATGTGGATCGTGGTGTTTAATACGCACTACCATACAGCGGAGTCTGTGTGTCGCCATTAGTAGCTAAATTAACGCTCTGCAAGGGACACCGTACCCTGTGTTCACACTGGCAATCGTGTTCAGACGCGGTGCGGTGTAGACCTCGATGGTGTGACGCACATTGCCGGTGACTGAGTAGGGCGTATGCCCGAGTCGGTAACCTAACGGGACGTAAACATCCGAACGATAACTCCAGATCAGGTGAGCGTTTTGACGACTCGGACCCAGACACGCAATCGGACTCACATGAGTTGCCTCCAATCTCGAATGACGCCGCCCATGGCGTACTCGTTGTCATAGGCGGGAGGACTATAAGGTAGACGAGCACAATGGCGTCGATAGCGCCACAAATTCGGGCCGCCCTGTAGTCCACTACAACCAGAATTCCCGGAATCCCCTGCGGCGATTGGGTAGCGTGCTAATGCCGCCGACAACGCGCAATGAAGTTGAGTGGCGTCGACTTGGCGTGGCGTCCTATGCACAGACTTGACCACTCATCACAAAGACAAAAAGACGAACCAGTGCCTGATCGTGTCCTCCGAGAACATGCAGGTGGTCGTCTTGGTTTGAGAATGCATGGAGATGGAGGAAAGAGAAAAAGGTGTGATACACTCGATAGTTATGTTGAGACGGTCGGTGTGGAAGGCGCCGCCGGGAAAGTAGGACCGTGCGTACCTGTGGATGATTCACAGCAACGCGATTCCCTCATGATACCCTGTCCAATCCCCTTATCTTCTCAGATATCCGTCTACCTGTTGTTGATAACCTAGGCATGGATTGCGCACGTTGAATGGAGTAGCCGCAATTTGCTGGACACAGCCTGTGAACTGTATGCCGGTATCCCGCGGGAAGTCGACATCGGGGGAGTCCTGAGAGAAGCAGAGGCGGACGGTGGACGTCCGGACAGTGGGATACTTGTGTTACATGGCTGCGTGGTTGAAAAAGACGCTTGGCGAGCGCTCCAGCCATGTGCATCGGCCGACCCACTACATACATAGTACTGTCGAGTCCCAGCCCATTCGCGTTACTACGTTCCGCTTGCCTACAAAAGTGCTCCGGTTGACTGTGTGACGCTCAATATGTGCTCGATACTCGCCTCGGGGAGAGAGGCAGGAGCTCGTCAAAACACCTTGTTGTTCGTTGAGAACTTAAGGCGGCGAACAAATCCGTTGACCTGAGCCTTCCCCACACTCCGCAGACAAGTCAGCAAGCGGGCCGAAACAACCAGCTCGCTGGTTCGACTCTCGCAGTGGGTGAACTTTTTCTGGCTCAAGGCGTGTTCCTTCGCCCCGCGGTAAGCGTACCCTAGGTTTCTATCGCTATCTGAGATGCGCCACTACCATTATAAGTAACAACTAGTTATTCAGGCACCGAAAGGGTGTCGTACATCTTCGCGCTCGCCACCCGCTCCCCCGTCCTCCGCAGATACTCTCCGCACGATCTTAGAACGGGCTTCCCGCTGCGTACCACATGTTCCGAAGGAACATGTAGGGAAATCAGCCTGGCCGGGATGAGAGGTGAACGACTCGCGCAAAGCTACCGTTCAGGGCGCCTGAGCGCACATCGAACCCCCGCTCCGGCCGAGACGGCGCGCCCTCCCGCCAAATTTCCACCAGTGGGCTCTCCTATCCCTCCCTATCGACCCAGCACGACCATGTACCCTGCGTTATCTCCTTCACGAGCTGCTGCATATCCTCCGGCGTGGACGTCAGGAGGCTTATGAACCATCATAGACCCGAGTGCCCTCGCTCCGACCATCGTCGGCACGCGGTGCGCGGCGATGGGCACGCGAAGCGTTGAAGCTTTGAAGGATCGCGCCGGGAGCTCCACGATGGCGACAGCGAGCGCAGTGCGTGGGTCTCTTCGGCGTGCGGGAAGCTGTGCCTATCATAGCGATGGAAATGCTGCTATGGTCGTGTCGAGCGCCCTGGTATGGTCCCCTGGGAGCGTTCCAACGTGAGCAAGTACTCGTGAGCATGTTGCGGATCGAAGGGAGAGCGACGTGCATCGTATGTCAAAAGTGTGGATTTATCATTTTGAGCAGTGCAACTTGTCCGACTGGCCCGAAAGATATCCACCAAGCGCCGAACCTTACATAAGGGGCGGTGTCCGTGCCCGCCGAACCCTCCAAGCAACGTTCGCTGACCGCCTGCTTCGACTCCTTCCAGAAGTCATCGCCTCGGCACTAATGCCTTTACGGTTTCCTTACCTCCGTTTAAATGCGCTTTTGACGCTTCAAAGTCCATGAAGCACCGCCGTGGCCTGCCAGCAGCCAGGCACCTCGAAGATGGAGATGCCGAGCCACTTCGACTTCTTCCGTGGCAGGTTCATCGCCTTTGACCTCACGGCCCTCACTTATCATCTTATTCTTCTCAGTATCATCCCCGTTGCCAGTTCTCCCCATGTGCTGCGTCACGCCCTGGCGTTCTGCTCCAGTGCGTCCTCATCGCAACGTGTCGCTGATCGATTCACCTGTACGTCACCTCGACAGGTATCATAGGTGTTGTTTTACGATAATTCTTTTAGGTCTATGTGGCTGCTGAGCACACAGACGGGGAGGTTGCACTACTACTCGTCCGTCAATGACGCTCCCAAGTACGCCATCCTCTCGCATGTCTGGCGTGTGCGAGCGGACGGCGGCGAAGACACCTTCCAAGACATCCAGCAGTACACCACACAGTGCGACGCGCGCCAGAGATGGGGGCAGCACCCTCGCGATCTCGTCTCCCACAAGATCGGGCGGTTCTTGCAAGGAGCAGAAGACGCCAACTTCGACTTCGCCTGGGCCGACACTGCTGCATCGACAAGACGAGCAGTGCGGAGTTAGACGAGGCGATCAACTCCATGTTCCATTACTACGCCCGCGCGCACGTTGCATCGCCTACCTCGCAGACGTCCCACCCGGAGACATCAACGACAAGAACGGCGCCACCCGCAAAGCGTTCAAGACGAGCAAATGGTTCACGCGAGGCTGGACGCTCCAGGAAATTATCGCCCCCCAGGTCGTCATTTTCGTGGCGAGCGACTGGTCTCGACTCGGGACGAAGCACGAGCTGGCATCCCTGGTACAGGACATCACACACGTCCCTGCATCCGTCCTGCGTTTCGAGATGGACGTCGCTGACATGAGCGTCGCGGAGCGCTTGTCCTGGGCGTCGCGGCGTGAGACCACGCGCAAAGAGGACGAGGCATACTCCCTTTTCGGACTCTTCGGGCTCAGCTTACCTACGCTCTACGGGGAAGGAAGCAACGCGCTTCACCGTCTCAGGAAGAGATCATGAAAACCAATCCCGACACATCGCTTTTTGCATGGGGAAGGCATCCTCCTATGTTCAACACTTGGGCGTCTTTGGAGGTGGAATGCCGCACGTCTAAGGACGGAGGAACGTCGTTCTTGTTTGCTTCTTCTATAAAGGACTTCGCGAACTCCGCCGGGTTTGTGTACACTGACAAGGCATGTGTGCTCCTCGTCGTCATCTCATTCTCACACGCTGATTCAGCGATACCTGGTCTCCACTCCCAATCCTGCAGCCCTTTCTACTGGTCGATGGAGACGCACTCGCTGCGCCTCGATTCGAGAACATCACGCCCAACGGTGTTCGCGCCCGTGTCTCTCTCCGAGAGATCGCGAACGGTTACTCGCTCGCATACCTATCCTGCTCACACACCGCATCATCCTGGCTGCTCTTCCTTCTTCTCCGAAAGTACGGTGACAAGCCTCCCTCGGGCGACGCACAGACCTACCACTGCATCACCCTCAAATCCGCCTACCGCCTCTTCACCGTCCGGCCCGACTGGGCGCCCGGCAACTCGCGCGCTGGAAACTCACCGACATATACATCCCCATCCGTCCTCCCCATCGCGCGCGGCAGACAGATCTGCGCGCGCGCCTGCTCTCCCTGTCCCGCGGATCACCTCCGATCGTTTTCCCTGCCATGGACGAGATGTCTCGCCCGGGCACGGAGCTAGTCGACGTCACCGACATCGGCGACACGTGCTGGACCGGCCGCGAGCCCGTCACGCTCACCTTCCGCGTCCGCCCGGGCGGAAGCGACACCTCCCGGACCGAGCACTTCTTCCTCACGATCGCGCGGTGCGACAAAGCTGCGGCTGTCCGTGGCGACAGCCTTCCGCCAGGCCAAGTCGCGGAGACGAGCGCTACGGACCATGAGGGACCCATCTACGCGTCGCTCGCCCACGTCTTCGCTTCCTTCCCCCCGATGGAGGGCCCTCGCACGCAGGTCTCGGCTCACTCGTGCGACCTCGACCATGTGGACGCGTGGGACAACATGAGCAAGATCTTCGAGGCGCGCTCGCAGCGCGCGTCCGACATCTTCTGGGTCTTTTCCGTCTCCTTCGCCGAGCGCTCCCGCGCGCCTTTCACGGCGGGTGGGTGCGATGGTGCCCTCACGCTGCACGTCGATTTGGTGGGTGGGGACTGATTGCACAGACACGAACGTACTGACAGGATCTCGTGTCTAGGATCAACTACCTGGCTGTGATACCGACGAGGAAGATGAAGACTACGAGGATTCCTCCGAGGCGGAAGAAGAAGCGAGGAACGAGGACATAGAGGCCGAGGATGACGGAACCGCGAGGAATCGTAAGAACGGCGCACCCAGGGCGCCAACTCTCCGCAAATCCGACTCGATGGTGGAGTTAGAAGAGACTTATACAGCGAGCATCAGCCCGTTGAAGCGGTCCTTCTCACCCACTGCGGTTGCCGGGGTAGGTGCTGTGATACCACTCACTACAATGTTTACTCATGACGATGCAGATCGTGCCTGATCAGCGTCCTAAGAAGAGGCAGCGGATTGTGCCGATCCAGGAAACGAGCGAGTTACCTGTGGAGAGCGAAGACGCGTGGCACAAGAACACCGAGGTTGAAGACCAGGATGATCATTTACAGATCGCGGAACGTTGCGACCAAGCGCAGAAAGGGTGCACGCCAGACGGACGGGATTGCTCCATCATGTAGCCACCTAGTCTGTAATGAAGGTCTGCAGGCCACTCATGTGAAGTGCGTACACTGCGTATACCAACTGGGTGTAACCTTGACATATGTTTCGCAGGCTTGGAAGTGGCCACGCGATGCCACCTCCGTGTGGTGAAAGAGTGTGGTCGCGCCACTCCTCTTTGGCACTTGTACAAAGAGGTACCCGAACGACATCCATCTCGCTTTGGCTGCCCACCGCCTCTATATATTGGGCGCGCCCTCCCCTGCGCTGCGTTCTTTCTCCCCAGGTCCTCTCCTTCAATAACGTCTTCCACGCTCCTTCGTCAGCTCGGCTTGATGTCGACCCGTTCCCGTTCCTCCCAGTCATCCACCTCGACGCTCGCGCTCCCCCCGCCAGACTCGCCGCCGCGCGCGAACCGCTTGAAGCGGGCGATGCCTATCCTCGAGCACCACCTCCACGACCTCGAGAAGTTCGACACCGTCGACCTCGGCGAGGACCCCGTCCCGCCCCCGCGCCGCAAGTACATCTCCGACATGCTCGAGCCCCCGTCTCCCCCGCCGCCCCCCGCCGCCCTCCGCCGCGCGCGAGGCGTTCAAGGCGCTCTTCAAGTCCCGCTCGCTCTTCCCCGCCCTCGTCCTCGCCACCGCCCTCCTCGTCCTCTCCACCGCGCTCACCTTCGGCCTCGCCGTCGGCTTCACCGCGCTCGGCCGCCGCGCCACCATCGCCGTCGCGCGCCTCCTCGTGCCCCCCACCGCCCCGCCCGACCCGCGCCGGCTCGTCACCGCCCCGCTCCTCCTCCGCGCGCTCCCCGCGGGGTGCTTCGCGCTCGCGCCCGCGGCGTGGCTCGCGGCGGTGCTCGTCGGGTGGCGTGCGCAGTGGCGCGTGCGGGACGCGCTCCCGCGGCGGTACGACGCGCGGTGGGCGGGCGTGCTCCTGGTGAGCGTCGTGCTCGCGGCGGGGTTCGCGGGCGGGTTGGGCTTGGTGTTGGTGCTTCCGGAGGGGGATAGGACGCCGGGGGGCTTCGGTGTGCGGGACGCGCTGGAGGCGGGCGGGCTGGGGATGGGGATCGTGTCCGCGGTTGTGGGTGTGTTCGGTGTGTTGTGTTACTTCGTGTTGACGTGATGCGCGAGGGAGAATGATTTGCTTAGCGTCCGCGAGACTCCAGGCCGGGTGTGCGTAGGCCAAAATGATGATATTGGATGCTGGCGAGTGGCGAGTGAAGTGCGGAAGCTCGTGTCGTGCACGCTGCGGTGCGTAGCAGTTGAATCTCAAGCGCTGGCCACACCCACCGGACCTGGCCGGGCCGATCCTCAAGAGGGCAGATCGCTCAGCGCATCTCGCAATTCGACCCTCCAGCCTCAGCGTGTACATGCGTATGTGGCGCCGAAGTGGTGGCAGGGGCGTGTTCGGTCGCTTCGCGAACTGGCCGTTGGTGCTGTTGCAAAGTTGCGAATCCACCGTTGTAGTTTGTGTGTGACATCTCGGCGGTTGGGACGACACGTCTTCACGAAGCGTCGTCATCAAATGTTCGGATAGGAGGATATCGAAACTACAGACAGCCTTCTGCTAGAGCCTGAACGTCCGTTCTCTGAGACTAACCTCACCATCGTTCCGGAGACAAAGTCCGCTAGCTGCAACAAACAGAAAAATGTGAGATCATTTCGTTCTAAAAGCGCCAATTCCGCCCACATACCGGCATCGCGCGGGAGTGCGCCCACCAAATCCTCACGCCAGCGGGGTGTAGGGCGGTGGCGCGCTACGCGTCTGGTTCGAAGAAAGCGCAGCGACGAGCCGACGCGATAACGACGCACGCACGGGGGCCGTGGCGCGCTCGTTCAGCAGTGCGCGCTCGCCATCCACAACAAGTAGGCCATCTCACCTGGGAGAGGGAAGTCCCACACGGCTGCTCTAGCACCAGAGCGCCGTCACCCCCGCTCATCCCGCGGTCCGTGCTCGAGGGCACCGGCACGGGTGGCTTCATCGACGCCGGGGCCAGTGGCAGTTCGAGCATCGCCTGTGGCAGAGGCCTGCGGCGTCGAGCCCCCAACGTCTGATGACGCAGGCGGCGACGAGACCGAGGACGACGTACGCCGCGACCCCGGCGGCGATGCCAAGAGCGAACCCCAGCGTCGAGTGATCTTCCTCGGAGCCCGGGTCGTCGTGTGCTCTGTTGAAGTGGATGGAGGTCATCGTGCGGGCGGAGGCGGCGGGGCGGGTTGAAGGTGCGCGCTTTCCGAGAGAGCTTCGCTCGGTTCGTCGTGAGCGGGAGAGGGACGGTAGGTGAGAGCGGCGTGAGTGACTTTAAGCTGCGGGAATTGAGAATGGGTTGGCGGCTGGGCGTGGAGAGCAGTGTGGCGGTGGGAAGGGCGTACTTTGTCTGTCATGAGCCAAGAGATGCATGGCGGTGCAGTGACTTACAACATACCGTACTGAAGACGCAATTGACATTGTCCGCGTATATAGTCGCCTCAGCATACACAAAATCCTGAGCAAGGTCTTCAAGGCGCCTTCTGAAGAGAAGCCGCGCCTGGTTGGCCAAAGTTGACTGCGACTAACCATCTATAGCGAAGGAGCCGTACCCGGTCCTGTGTACGTGAAACCGGGTACGTGTGCGGACCGGGCACGGATCAGACCGCCTTTAGTACCGGACGTGCACCGTTCCCCAAGACGAGTTCGCCGTTGACTTGGCTGTTGGACGCCATATATCGACAGCGGCCTGCCACAAAGGACGTCAGCACGCAGCAAGATGGAAGTGATACCATCTAAGCGAAGTGCACTGACGGAACGTAGGAGGTGCACATGCACAAGATGTTGGCTCACCCGGTGCCCCAATACCTCGTCGTCGTCCTGTAGACCTATGCTTGAACTTGTTGCAGGTCTCTGCCCCGAGACATAAGAGCTCACCTCATGGCCGCACTAGATGCTGAGAACTCATTTGAAGGCGTCTCGGCGCCAGCACGGGAAGCCGCACGGCCCATCGTTGCCAATGATGGCATGCCTGAATGCAAATATTCACCGCCATGAACATTCGAAGCATGGGTGATGTTACGTACCTTCGCCTAGGCCTGTTACTCCTGCCGACGCCAACAGTGCTCCTCTGCTTCATTTGACCCACCCGGCGTCTTTCCACAAAGAAGAACGTGGGCCATACCGCATGGACGCCTGAACTCCGATACGAACGTTGGACTTGGGTCGACCGGCGAAGGCAGCTACGACGGCGAGGTCGTTAGACAACAACAGTGGCAGAGCTCATACTCTGGAATACTGAACCACAGTAGCAGGAGGAGAGTTCTGAGAGAAGGGGAGAACACGGACAGCAGTACGCATACTCAACGAATAGTCGCGATTGAAGGCGGAACAGAAGAGACGCTGACGCAGGCACAAATCGGCAATTTCCCAGTCGCTGGTTCGACTCCCGCAGAAAAGGTTGTCGGTACTTCCCAGGTCTCGTCCCGCCCCCTCCTCCGCAGCGAGTGGTCGTGCACTTCGCCCTGCGCATGGCACGGGCGCGCGAGCATCTGGAGGTACCGTATGCGCACACGAGAGCGAGCCTCTCGCGGGACGCGAGCGCAGCCCTATCCTGCTCCTCATAGCCCCCAGGCTTCATGAGCTTCCCCGGCATTCCCGCGGCAGACCCTCGTCCGCAACGTTCAAATTCCGATCACGGCCACGACTCGCAGCACCTCCGCGCCTGGTCCGTGCGCGCCCCCAGGCTCGCGCACGTGCAACGGCGTTGATCATCTTTCGCCGCTACCACCACCACCGATGGACGGTGCTCCCGCCGAGGTCTTTGATCGCATTTTCCCACTCGCATCCATTGACGGAGGACTCACTGGACTTGTCTCAGAGCGATCGCTCGCTCCAATTGCTTTCACTCTATCATTCCACCGTTCTCACATGCCCGACTCCTCCAACGCATCTTCCTCACTCAGCACACCCGTTCAGAGCATTGGTCGCGTGCACTACTGTTGCCCGACGTTGCCCGCCCCGCAGGCAGTCGTCAACGACGGCTAAAGAGCCCCGTGCTCGTGCTGCCGACCTTCTCGCCTCTGACCTCCTCACCATCGACTTCCAGCCTCCACAGTCCTCCAGATGATCCAGCGCCCGAGCGTAGCCGGAACAACCCCGTTGGCGCTTGGACAGCTTGGATCGCGTCGCTCTCTTGACCAGAGACGTCGAGGATCATAAGTGGTCGATGTCCCCGGAGCGTTGCGCAAGACGTACTGAAGGGGGAAGTAACCAGGAGGTAAGCCCCAAGACCACATCCATACTTGCACTTTGCTCACGCCGTGTTCGATGACAAGGCCAGCCCTGGAGAGCTTGCCCTGACGGGATATGGGTCACGCACACAGCGCCGGACGCGCACGGGCGGGAGGGTGAGTGCAGGAGGGCCAGATGGGGGCAATGCACGCTATGTTTACCTCGCCCAGATCGGCTGACGTCCTTCGCCGCCCGGCCCAGCACGGGGCGCGGTCGTGCTCTTCCCCTGCTCTCGACGTCCGCGGCGGATGCAGATCGCGAGCGCGAAGGTGCCAAGCCCCGACACCGAGGCACGCTATCGAGATGGAGGACGAGTTTGGGTCCTTGGACGGTTGTTTCTGAGCCCGTGCCCGTCACCTGCACCGTCCCCATCTGCCAGGCGTGGGTCCGCTCGCTATATCTGCCCCGCCACCGACGCCCAAGTGCTCGGACGCTGTACGCCCGGCGCGTGCAGCCAGCGCGCAGCACAACTCTCCGGGGCGCGTCCTTTGGCCAGGGCTGCGACCCTCTCCTCGCCAGCCGCGCGCGGGCGGCTCGCGTGGGCGGCGCGCGTTCTCCACTCGTCCGTCATGTCCACGCGCAGCCGTGTGGATGTGGGATACCTCGGCGTACCCCTCGCGCGCATGATCCCGCCCCTCCCTCTCTCGTCATCTTTCTCCCAAGACTTATAACCAGCCCGCCCCCGCCCCCGGAACGCGACCCATCCTTCGACGATCCCCGTTCTGGGCCACCGCAATAGGCGCTCTCCCCCGCTGCTATATCCACCACGTCCACTCTCCCTCCCTCGTCCGACCCCCGCCATCCAGCATGTTCTACGACACCTTCGAGTGAGCATGCGCCCTGTTTCCCATCCCGTACTCACCCTTCTTTTCTCCAGCTTCGTTCCTCAGCCGACCTCGCGGTCCACCACTCGCACACTCCCGACCCATCCCAGCAGTCCCTCTTCGACCCATACTGCCAACCCACCAACTCGGACCAATCCTTTGTACGCTTCTCTCCCATCGATGTCTCTACTCGACTGATCCCTCTCCAGTGCTCCGACTTCTCCTGCTGTGGCCAGAGTCTGCCAGACCTCCACCGCCTCCTCGAGCACTTCGAGGAAGAGCACGTCCTGCCCATTATGACGGACGACATCCACTCCCAGGCACACCAGTACTCGCCGTACATCCTCAGCTATCCTCAGCCCGACCCCCACTCCCTCCCGCCTTCCCTGGTCTGCGCACCCTCCCTTCGCTCGACCTCGCGTCCTTACGGCCGCCCTCCCCGCCCTCTCTCCCTCAGCATCCTCTCCCCTCTCGTCAGCGAACTCAGCCGTAGGCACCCCCAGCCCGCGTCTCGGCGAACCGCTCTGCCTCCCGCCCTCGCTCTTCACCGTCCAGCCGACCCTCCCGCGCTCGCGCACCCCACCTCCACTGCCATATGAGGACTTGGCGTCGACACGTGTACGCCCCCCTGCGCTCGGCCCTCAACGGACGGCGCACCACCAGCACCAGCACCATCACCCCGGCGCCACGCCAAGTTATCGCCCGCTGAGCGCCACGCTCTCCGCGGAGCACGCGCGGGCTACAGGAAGCGCGACGGCGCGAGAAGGCGTACAAGTGCCCTGTGAGTCGCGTCTCTCTGTCTTTTCCTCATTCCTGTCCCGGTCGTGAGCGCGCGCGGGCCGACTGTCCCCGCGCGAGCCTGGTATCCCGGGCGCGTTCAGTCTTGTGGCGTTGGCGGGCACCAACGAGCTCCACGCCCCAGCTCCGCGTCCCCTCCTGCCAACTGTCGTGTGCGTCGTGGTGACGCACCGCGCTCCCTTGGCGCGGGCGATGGACCGCGCGCGGAGACAGAACCTGGGAGACGCCCGTGGGACGTGTTCCCGCCAGACACCATCGCGGGTGCACTTCGCGGCGCCACCCTCGCTCCGCTGCCCTGTCCCTCTCCTCCCTCCCTCCTGCTCGCGTGACTCCGGACACTGCGGACGCTGACTCGCTCTCTCTCTCTCTCTCCTCCCTGCGCCCCACGCCTTCCTTCAGCACCCCGGCTGCACCAAGGTGAGCGCGCGGCCCCGCCTGACGAGCGACGGACGACGGGCGACGGGCTTCTCCTCCCGAGCTCCGAGCGCTGACCGGCCTCCTTCTCTTACGTCCCCAGGCGTACCTCAACCCGAACGGGCTCAAGTACCACCTCGAGAAGGGCACCTGCACCAACGCCGACACCCACTCGCGCGCCCCGCTCCCTGCCCTCGGCCCGCGCGCCCCTGGCCCCCCGCCGCCCGCGACGCCCTCGGCATGACCGTCCGCTGGAAAATCGCGGGGGGCTCCCTTGCGCGTAGGGGATCGTGGACTGCGTGCTCGTCGCTGTGCTGTATTTCGTGTCTCCGCGAGCGTATCGCCGCGCGTCATGTCCTAGGTCTCGCGGGTGCTATGATCGAATGTGTGCGCGCGACGACGTTCCGTCTGCGCGTTCACCGTGCTCTTCGGCCCGTGTGCGTCCTCGACGCGCCGCGCCAGGTACATCAAATACAAATCCTCGTACGCTCCAGAGTCGACTCGGCGCCTGGGCCCGCGTTCGTGTTCGGCACATACGTATGTACGTACTGCACGCACGCACCGACCCTTCGAACATTATCTTCCATGCATCGGCACGCACGTACGGGAATGGGGTGCCGGCTTGGGCCTCTGACCTTACTTGAGTACATACTGGGATGTACCAGAAGTGCAAAACGTGAGAGAAGTGCAAATTCGTGATCGTGCCCGTCCCCCCTGCACAATAAATCTTGGAAAAACCAGAGTACTCTTTAAGAAAATCGAAGGACACGCGCCAAAGAGGGATGGAGAGCGTCAAGGAACAGAGAAAGTGTGCATTTCTGCACGCCTCACAACCGGTGTGGATGTGCGCGTCCATCCACATCTTGGGCGATCCTCGTGAAATTTTGGGATATTAATTTACATACCCCCTGAGTGTGATTTACACCCCCAAGGTCAACACCAATAATAAGTACAGTGTTCACAACGTCCAGACGTGCTGAGCGTGACTATCCGCCATTAGCGCTCGGTGGGCTCAAGGCTGGCAGCGTGACTATCTATGTGCACGTACAGGGCGCTTCGTCATTGCCGGGGCCTTTGCGCAACTGTGCCCCTCTCAAGCTCGCTCTCCTGTAATTCTCTGTGCGCTCTGAAAAAATACCTTACACGATTTCAACAATGTGTACCAAACCCGAGAGGGATCGAGAGCGGACGGACAGATACCGTTTTGCACATCCGGTAGTAAACCCCTATCATCCGTCGCAGGGCGCGAGCGCGGCAGGGCAGGCTCGCCATCCGAACGGTCCATGGCCTCGGAGGACCGAAAAGCCCGCTGGGAGACGTTCCGCGCGCACGTCTATTCGACGTATGGCCCGAGGAACCACACCACGGTCCGCTCGGGGCCAGGCGCTCGCGCGCGGGGGAATGCTGCGCAAAGAAGATCGACGTGCGTGAGGGGCGAGACGTGCACGCCCCGAGTTGGTAGAACACCGGACGAAGACGCTCAGGGTATGCCTGTACATGTACGTACTTATGTGGGCGGAGTGCACCCAAGGTGGGAGGTGGAAGAATGCTGGCCCGCGGCGCAGGTACCCGTACGTGCACGTTCTGCCGATGGAGCGAATTGCGGGCTGTGAATCCTTCGGCGATGGCGGCTGGCCTGGCGAACGGGAGGACTGTATGTATCGCAGCCAAGATCCAGAGGAGAAAGCTCTCCCCCAACGTACGCCTGCGGGGCCTGCAGGGACGACGGGGCAACGGAGGTAAATCGACCAGCCGGCGGCTTGGTGGGCGCGGCGGGGTTGAACGTTCAAACGGTCAACGGCAGTCCCACGACGGCCGACGTTTCGACAGATTTCGTCGCTGAGTCGGCTGCGGACGCGATTCGCACCGCTACCGTTCTGTGGGCGGACCTGCGTACATTGGGAGTGAGGAGTGGTGTTGGGCTCAGGCTGGGAGATCGCGAGCGGTGGAGTAGGATACGACCGAGTGGGATCCACTTTAAAGGCTGCTAAGCTCCTGCACCAGCCGCAAACCCGCGAGCCCAGTGCGCATCCTGCCCAGCGCCGAGTGCGCAGTGCTCAGCGCTCAGCAGCCCAGACCGAGTACGGCATCGTGTCCGAGAGTGCGCCCGTACGTCTTCTCGACACCGTGGGGGCGATGGGTGGGCGTTCCGGAGGAGCAATGTCGGAAGGCGAATTCGAACGTTCAGCGACGAGGGCAAGCTGATGATGATGATGATGATGTATTCATGCCAGTACTGTAAGTATCTTCGTAGAGCTAGGTACGAGCTTTCTCAGAGACGGCAGGTATCCCGCATTCGGGCGACGAGGGCAAGCGGCCGGTGGCAGCGTGCGGTCCCCTGCATGTGGTCGACTCGAGATTGGCGGCGATTGAGTTGGAGCTTGGCGGCCGCACCGTCCGATGGTGGCTTCTCTCGCATGTCCTCCGTTTGAAAGGCCGTGACGAGATGGCGTGTGAGTGCTGGCGGCGTGGATGATCGCCGATAGGAGGTGCGTGCGTCTGCTTCTCCGACGGACGGGTTATCGGAGTGCTTGGGTCTGCAGATTGGGCCAATCTGTGTTCGGTTTGGCAGGGCCGCGCGTGAGATCCCAGGCGAGAGGGGGGCGGGTCTGCCTGATCGGGACTCAGCCGGAACGTAATAATTCACGCTACTCCCTCCAGGCTCTCCTGCTGCTCGACGCCGAACGGTGTGGAGCACCTGTCCTGCCAGGCGCTCGACACTTGAAACGAGGAGGTCCCAGGCGATCGCGCGTTGCTTCCGCAGGCCCGCGCCAGGCTCGTCTCTGCACCGCGCGCGATCGCGCCTGCCGATTTGTTCCGCGCGCAGCGCTGTGGAGGACACGCGGCGGATGCGGGGCAAGACGCGGGAGAGGGAGAGAACGAGGCGACGCATGTGATCTTGCGCCTGGGGGCCCCCGCCGGCCCACGTGTCCCCACAAATGGCAACACGCGACAGACGCCCGACTGCAGGCCAACGGGTGGCGGGCGTCTGAGACCGCCGCATCCGGGCCGTCGTCCAGCGCCCTCGCCTCGTCCGAGAGCGACTGCCTCCCCCGCCGGTCTCTCTCCCTCATCTCTCCTCCACCACCATCGCCCAGGCTTTCCCCGCACCCTCCGTCCGTCCGCCCACACTGGACACGGTCACAGTGCCCGCCTGAAGTGCGGAGAGCCGCCTCCCCTCGACGACTCCCTCCCTCACCACCCCAGGGCCGAGCTCGATTCTCACAGACGCGCCCGCCCTGCTCTCCACGCGCCCCAGGGCCCGCTTCATCTCGCCCCCCGCCGCCTCTGTACCACCGCCCTGCTCTGCTTTCTGCTCGTCTCCTGTTCGTACTTTCTGTATCAGTACCCCTGCTCTTTCCCCATATCCATCCCGCAACATGATCGCCCATTTTCCGTCCCCCATCCTCTCCGTCGCCGCCGATGTCGTCAAGGACCTCGAGGGCGAGGACGCCCTCTGCAGTCTCTGGGCCCGTCAGTTTTCCCAGTCCCTTTTCCCTTGCCGTCCCTTCTCATCGCGCTCTTTTTTCTGCAGTATTCACAAAGTGCAAAGACTCGCTCAACGACGGCCCCCGCCTGGAAAACATCTCCTGGAGGTTATGGTACCGCGAGATGGCGTCCGCGCAGAGCACCCCCTCGTCTTCCCCCGGCACGCTCTCCCCGTCGTTCTCGGAGAAGAGGAGTCCTTCGCCTATCACTCCCGTATCGGAGGACGGCATTGTTGCTCAGCAAGGTACGCGTTTTCTTCTCCTGCGATGCTCTCTGCGGTAGGACCTCTTCTCCGGACTCGGTGTATGCATGCTGGAGTCAACGATGAGAGCGCCCCCGATGCTCCTCGTTCATATCGCGGCGAAGCCTGTTATCAGCTGCCGATGCGGCTCCTAAGCCGGTCGCTGAACGGCGGATCCCTCGCGCTTTCATACATACACCAGTCTCTCGACGCAGTGGTCTACACTATGATTTTGCGCACGAGGGTCGTTACTGGCTGTTGATTTCGCGGTATGACTCGCCGTGCCTGGTTCAATTTTGGTGAATGGCGGAAGCAGTTCGCCTTCTATAAGGTCCCTCGGGATCTTGCTCTGCGAATCCCGATGGCCGGGGCGGAACTCGCTTGGCGCCCGGATATCCATACTTTACCTCTCGCTGAATTACCGGTCTAAGTGCTGACCTGGCCACTGTGGCAGATCAACTACCGCACACATCCCTCGCACCAACGCCTGAGTGCGTCACCGTCCACTCATGGCACCCTGAAGACTCGCTCAAGACCGTCGTCCACGCCGGTCGCCGCCTGAGCACGGCGAGCGCACCCATGGAACGGGTAAAGTCGAATCCGACTCCGGGTGTCGGCCAGATCATCCTCGATATCCTCCCAACAAGGTCGCTGTACCGCGGCCAGCACCATCCCTCACGCGCACGCCCGTCCCTGCGACTCCACGCGTTCCGCAAATAGTACAGCCGCGCCCGGTCGCCCCGCAGCCGACTCTGCAGCTGCCCTCGGATTCGTCGTCTCCCCAGCAGCAGTCGTCCGCGCCGGGTTCGGTCACTGCTTCGTTCCCGCGCGTTGTCGTCGTGAACCCAACGCCGCACCCCACGCCGCCGGCCACTCCGAGTAACATCCACGCGCCGCGGATTCCGGGTCCCGTGCAGCCGTCGACGCATTTGCTCCCGCCGCCCCCTGCGCGCTCGCTCCTTGCGCCGGCGACCGCTTCTTCCGGCACGGGCGGAAATGGCCCCTCTCCGGTGCCTGCAAACCCGAAACCCGCCCAGGCCGGTCCAGCGGCGCTCAAGCGCACAAAGCAGACCACGGAGCTCGCGATGCTCGCTCCTGCGGGCCTATCGACCGCCCCTCGCCAAGAAGTACGACGACGACACAATCAAGGCATCCGATCGCAAGTTCGCGCTCGCGACCGCCGGATCTCCATCCGACATCGACTCACCCACCAGCCCCGGCCAAGGCCGCGAGGCCTCGGTGGAGCGCAGCGTGAGTGTCGACGGACACAGCCCCCGCAGCGACGTCTCGCTCTCGCTTGGCCACGCCCGCAAGGACTCGGGCGGGAACACGTCCGCTTCGGGCGCCAACGCGAAGAGGCACGTCAAGGCGACGCACGTCGGGGGCGCGCGCAAACGACCGGCGATGCAGCGTCTGCACTCACATAATCTCCGACCCGCGGCGAAGAAGACGGACGGCGCGGGCAAGAAGGCGATGTTCGATGTCGGCTCGGCGTCCTCTGACGGCTCGCGGGCGGGCGGACCCAGTGGCCCGACGATTGGCGCCCTGGCCACGGCGATGGCCGCGGTGAAGGCGACGCCCGCTCCGGTTGCGCCGCCCGCCGCCCCTACGGTAGCGGAGATGCAGAAGGAGAAGGAGAGGAAAGAGGAAGTGCAGGCGCAAGTTAAGGCGCTCGCGCAGATCCAGACCCGGATGGCGAAGAAGGTGCAGGCTGCCGCGCCGACGAGTCCACCACCGACCCCCAGGGTCGCCGGGAAGGGCAAGGGCAAGGAGAAGGCGGCGCCTGCGGCGACCACGCGCCGTGGGATCGTCATCAGCACGTCGTCGGAGTATGAGACGGACTCGGACGACGGCTCGGACTGGGCGTCGGAGGACTCGCGCGCGGACGATTCCCCGCGGAAGAGCAAGAATGGCTCAGCGACGAAGAAGGACGCGGCGAAGGGCAAGGGCAAGGCGTCTGTGCGTGCACCAACATCCGTTGACGAGGTCCGCCTGCGTGAGGCGGCGGAGAAGGTCGCGCGAGACCAGGACATGTTTGCGAAGGTCCCCCAGCGGTCGTACTCGAACCTCAGCCGGAACACTTCTGTCGGCCTCCTGTCGCAGCTGCTCAACCCGCCCCGGACAGGTTGCCGCCGAACCACCCCTACTGGACAACCCGCTCTTCGCAGGACATCACCCAGCTCACTCGCCGCGGGCCTGGCACCGGCGCACTCACGCCTGGGCTGCAGATGAGCAAGTGCAAGAGCTCGGCGGCCGTGCCTCTTGCGGCACCCGTTACAGCCGCGTCTGTCGCGCCCGCCGTACCCTCCGCCTTTGCTGCCCCGGCCCCGGTCCCGGCTCCGGCCCCCTCCCCCGCTCAGGCTAGCACAGCACATGCCCGTGCGCCATCGACGAAATCGACACAGACCAGCGGATCGGACCAGCGCTATAGGCCGAAGGGCCGGCCGCAGGGCGAGGAGATCGAGTACTCGGACAGCGACGAGGAGCACCCGGACGACACGATCCAGGTCTCCGTCTCGCTCGCGCACCAGAAGCTCGCGGCGCTCGCGGACCCGAATCGCCGCCGCTCTTCGCAACAGCAGACACAGAGGCAGCCACCCGCTGCTGGCGGCCCCGGCCCCAGTCTGCTCTCACAGCAACTTCCTCAAGCTCAGCGCCCACGACCCCCACACACGCAATCGCAGCCACAGGCGCCGACCCCGCACGCACGCCCACAACTCTCGACAGTCGCATCGGCGCCCATCCCGCTTCACCATCCTTACAACCTCCCCTTGCCGGAGCCGCCAACGACCCCGCGGACGACGCGGCGGCAAATGCTCTCGACGGAGCTGTCAGAGTCACTCCGTCGGCAGGTGCTCTGGGAGCGCCAGGTCGGGCGAGGGAACGCCGGCGCCCAGAGGCGGTCGTTCGGCGGCGGCGTGCGTCCGCTGACGACCGTCGAGGGGTTCCGGGGCCAGCAGCAGGGCCAGCCGTCCGGGCAGCAACAGCAGCAGGGGCAGGGGGCGGCGGAAGATCCGGAGGAGCGGAGGAAGAGGGCATTGGCCCGGAACCGGAGTTGGGCGGACGAGTACCATTACTCGGGCTGGTGAGCTGTGTCCGTCCGTCCGTTGTTTCCATTGTTGCTTCTCGTGGGCGACTTGTTAATTTTCTCGTTCTCGTTCGTATGTTTTGGAGGGTATTTTGTGTATAATTGCGTTCTCGCTTCCGTTTCTGTCCCCGTTCCCGGTATTCTCGCGCTATCTGGCACTGTACATATTGTCCCACTCATCCTGACCCCGTCCGGCCGCCCCCATCCATAGCTCATCGGCATCCGGTCTTGTTCATCGTCGTCCCGTCCATCGTGTACACTATCTCTCATCGGCATCCCATCGCATCCCGCTTTCCGTCCGACGCGTCAGTGCCTGTCTCGGTCTCTGCGTCTCCGTGCGGACCCGGGCCGCACATATGCATATTGCACATATTCACAACATATCATCATCATCACCATCTTCCCGTTCGTAGTCGCTCGTTCCACCCCGTAGTCCGGTCCATCATATCATTGTTCTGTCACGGCGTCGCCGCACCAGCATTGTTCATCGATTCCCGTTCCCCGTTTGTTCGAGCCCCGCCCGGCGCGAGTGTCCACGTGGGGCTTCTGTACGATAGCTCCATAATCCACTTCCCAATGGTTTGTTCTTCGAGGCTTCGCCCCATCGTCGACGTCCGGCGTAATTTCCTTGCGTGGCGCACTACCGTACTAGCTCTCCTTGTCGCTCTGGCCAGCGTCCCCTCCACGTTTCCCGTCTCGCATACCTCGTCTCCCGCATCCTCTCTCCGACTGTATCCCCATCGTTTCCCTCGAGCTGTCATCTATCTCCGCACACCTTTAATCGCTCGCCACTCGCGCTCGCTACCCTACGCTCCCTCTCTTCCCCAGCTAGTACGTTACCGCCCCCGCCCGCACGGACGCTATCTCCCCTCGTCGGACACATCCTCCGCCATCATCCGAATCGTTCTCCCACCGCCCGACTCTCGTTATCCTCCGTCTCTCCCATGCGCTCCTACCACCTACTATGTCTCCCGTATGTGCGCGCTCCGTCGGTGGCCGGCCTTCGGGGTTATCTATACATGTATTCGTATTGATCGTCGGTGTTGGATATTTGAGCCGTCTATGTCTGGTGACCTGTTGCAAGACGAAGGCGAGTGCGGCTTGATACAAATACCTGACCGGTCTGCCACGGAGATCTTGATGCCCCCTGCGCGCGCCGCAAGGTGGCTGTCGCAACTCGCGCCCTACGTGTGCGTGTTGGCTTCGGACGCCGAGGCTGGTTGACACTCCTTGTTTTGCAAGTTCCCGCAGCTCATCTTCGAGCTTGCAATTGCGTGCACCACCGGCGGGGGTCGCACCGGCTTGCGTACTCCGCAGCCTGCCCCGTGCTTCCATTCCGTCCGGTCGGTCTTCTGCGCAACTCAGTCAGTCCGGCCGGTCTTTACACCTTTAGTCCGTTCGGCTGGTCTTCTGTCAGGTGCAGGTGCGCCAGCCCAGTTCGTCACGGCAGGTCGCTCCTCTGATCCCCCATTCCCGTAGTACATAGCAGGTCAGCCAAACTTTTCGTCTCACCAGGACCCGAGTCGCTGTCCCGCCCGCCCGCGCCCATTCCCGAGACGTTCGCCTTCCGATAGACTGCCAGCCCAGGAGGCGACGCGCGCGCACGGCTTCCCTGCCTCGCCAGAGTCGGCGACTCGGCGCGCGCCCCCACGTCCCCCAGTGGACTGGCCGCGGCCCCCGCGGTCGTGAGCAGGCTCGCGCCGCACGCGCGTCTTGTGTTGTACGGCGCTCTGAGCGGACGCGGCGGGACTACATCGCGAGCTCGCCCACCCCTGCCCGGTAAGTACGTGGCGAGAGAGCGAGCCGCGTGCCTGCGCCCAGAGGTCCTCGCATGTTCCCCAGCACGCGCTCGGAGTGAGCGTGTCCGTGTCAGAGGCTCCTCCGGCTGGTGCGGATCAGCGTGCGGTCGAACGGTACATAGCCTGGGCACGGTGGATCTCGAACTGGCACAAGGACGTCGTCTGGCGCTGCTTGGGCTGGCGCCGCCGGGAAGTAGCAGATGGTTGAATATCCTGCGTCGGGTTTAAGAAGACAGGATGCCGAGTTTGGGAAGTTGTGGAGGAGAGCAATACGGAGCGGTCGGAAGTAGGCAGTAAGTACGGAGGTAGTCAGAGTTCTGGCATGATTACTGCGCTCGACACAATTGAAGCTGAAGTCCGATGCCGGGATATTAACGTGTTCGTCGGGTATTAGTCAGTGTTCAAAAGCCAAGTTATCAGATAGAGTGGGGAAAGCATGTGATTGGCCGAGGGCTCGAAGTTACAGTCGGTGCCTCTTCCGGATATGTCGGTCCTTGGGGCGGAGGAGATGGCGCGTCTGGGTGGTTCGATCCTGGGGGGACCCTGTTCAGCCGATCCAGCGCGCGGACGGAGGGCGGAGTGGCGCGCGGTGGCCAGTGTGGGGACCAGCGTTTGGGAGAGCACTGAGTCGAAGCTGCCGAAGCATACGCGTCTTGCCTCACGCCTTGTATATCACCTCCGCCCCGCCCCCGCCCCGCGATCCGCACGCACGCCCTCGCACGCCCCCCTCTCCTCTCCTCCCCCGTCCTCGCCCCGCGCCCTCGATGTCCTCGCCCGAGGAAGACTACAACGATGACTTCGGCCAGAACGCCAAGAAACGCAGGATCCAGCGCGCCTGCGACATGTGTCGCCGCAAGAAAAGTGCGCCCCCCTCGACTCTCACCTTTCTCCTAGCTCATCCCTCCTTCGCGCGTCCAGTCCGCTGTCAGTCCCTCTCTCGCGCGCATATCCCCCGCTCCCGCACACCCTCTGCCCCTCGCTCATCCCACTCCTTCCATAGGCGATGCCGCTCAGATGGCCGGCAACCGGTGTTCAAACTGTGTATCCTACCGATTGGAGTGCACCTATGTCGAGGCTGCAAAGGTCCGTCTACCCCCTCCACCCTACCCAGTGCTCCTCCTACATCCTCCCCGCTCTTCAACCCTTCACTTCACTCATCTTCTCTCCAGAAGCGCGGACCTCCGAAGGGGTGAGTAATCGTCTCTCACCCACTCGTGCACACCAAATGGGCATCATCCTGAGTCATTCTTCGCTCTCCGGGACCTCCGCACGCCTCCAGTTACGTCGAGAGCCTCGAAACCCGCCTCGAGAAGATGGAGAACTTGCTGAACAAGGTCCGTTCTCTCTCCATTCCCCGCATTCCCCCTCTTGCCGCTTTGAAACGCGTTCGCGGGCGATGCCCAACGTCAACGGTCAATGGTGGCGTGCGGCTCGGAAGTCGCCTTTGGTCTCCATTCGCTCCAGCCGTCTTCCAGTCCCGTCCTTGGAATCATGTGGACATGCCTTTCAGCGCGAGCTTACCAATCCTGTAGCTGTGCCCTAACGCCGACTTCTCCAAAGAGCTCGGTGGCTCTTTCGACCGCGATGGGTGGACTACCGACCGCGGTGACGCTCTCGGCGGTTCGGGATTTAGCATCCCCACCACGCCCGGCCCCGGGACCATCAGCTCTCCTCCAGCGCTATCGTCCTCGGCGGGCACACCCTCGCACGAGGCGGACGAGTTCGACCCGTCGGACGACGAGATCGTCGCCCAGCGTACCATCGTTCAGAACCTGAAGAAGATGAGCGTGAACCCGAGCTCAATGCGTTATCACGGCAAGTCAAGCAGTCTCCTATTCATACAGACGGCCATGGACCTCAAACACGAATACGCGGGCGTCGAAATGCCAAATTCCTTCGATCCCGATGCTCCTCCCGCATTTCTCCGCAGGCGTCAACAGTACTGGTCTTTGCACCCCGTACGTCCTCATGATTCAAGCGTCCCCATCTCTCGTCGATCGGGCCCGGACCAATGGACCTCAGGTCCAGACGCTGACGAAGATATCCGTGCCCAGTGGCTCACCTCCAACGTGCAAGACGAACACTCACCGCACAAAGACTTCCCACCCGCCGATCTATTAGCGACCTTGGTGGACCTCTACTTTACGAACGTGAACGACTACATGCCGCTCCTACATCGACCTACGCTTGAGCAGGGGATCCGTGAGGGCATGCATCTACACGACGAGGGCTTCGGCTCCACGGTCTTGCTTGTGTGCGCGAACGGCTCGCGCTTCACGGACGACCCCCGCGTACTGCTCGACGGAAACGAGATTCCCCAGAGCGCGGGCTGGAAGTGGTTCCAGCAGGTGCAGATGGTACGCAAGAGCCTGCTTGCGCCTCCCCGACTGTACGACCTCCAGATCTACGCGGTGAGTCCCTCCGGCGGGCGCTCCCCAATGCCCGACGGGGCGTGCTGATGGTTTCCGGCTTCTTTCTTTGCTCGGACATCGGCTACCGACCACGCTGCACATTGTCGTACGACAATGTCGTGCGGTTCCACCGCTTGCAACACAATAGCTTACTGCGGAGTTTCTGCAAGGCACGTCCGCGCCGCAGGCGTGCTGGACGATTATCGGGATCGGGATCCGCATGGCGCAAGACGTTGGCGCCCACCGCAAGAAAGTCTACTCGTCGACGCCGACGATCGAGGAAGAGCTCTGGCGGCGCGCGTTCTGGTCGCTCGTTGCGATGGACCGCACGACGTCCTTCTCGCTAGGCCGCCCGTGCGCGATTCAAGACGAAGAGTGAGTTCCGTTTCTGTGCGCGACCGCAGACGGGCGTGCTGATGTCCACGCAGCTTCGACGCGGACCTCCCGACGGAGTGCGACGACGAGTACTGGGTGGCGAGCGACGCTGGTCCGGCGTTTAAGCAGCCGCCAGGGACGCCGTCAAAGATCACCTTTTTCAACTGCTTCGTGCGCTTGCACCAGATCCTCGCATTCGCGATGCGCACCATTGTGAGTCCCTTCTGATGGCGCGATATGTGTCGTTTGCGAGTGCGTAGGTTCAACGCTGACTCCGGTACGTGTTCCACCTGCGTGCAGTACTCGATCAACAAGAGCAAGGCGCTATTGGGCTTCGTCGGCCAGCAGTGGGAACAGCACATCGTCGCTGAGCTCGACTCCGCGTTGAACAAGTGGATCGATTCCGTGCCTGATCACCGTGAGCTTCGTTGTCTGTGCTCTCTGCCTCGATCGCACTGATCCATCGCCGTTTGCGCACAGTCCGCTGGGATCCGACGCGCGAAAACGTCCTGTTCCTCAACCAGTCCGCCGTCCTCTTCGCCCACTACTACCAGCTCCAGATCGCGGTGCACAGGCCGTTCATCCCATCCCCGCGCAAACCGTCCCCACTGTCGTTCCCCTCGCTCGCCATCTGTACCAATGCCGCGCGCTCGTGCATCCACGTCTTGGACATTCAGCACGGGCGCTCAGGCAAGCCGATATGGTTCTGTCAGGTGAGCCACTGAAGGCCACGTACTGCGGACACGCCGTCTGATGCGCAGATGACGTGTACCATGTAGATGGCGCTCTTCACCGCCGGTATCGTTCTGCTGCTCAACATCTGGGGCGGCAAGCGCTCCGGACTCTCGACCGACCCGGCGAAGGAGATGGCGGACGTGCACAAGTGCATGAAGATGCTTCGCATACTCGAGCCGCAATGGCACACCGCCGGCAGGCTATGGTTAGTGGTTATCCCTCCGCCTCGCCTCGCCCTAGCCTGATCGGGCCGCACGATGATCCGCGGACACGTTTCAGGGACATCCTCTATGAGCTCGCCTCGGTCGGCGACCTCCCGCTCCCGCAGGCGTCGCCCGCGCCGAGCCAGAAGCGCGAACGCGACTCGGACACGCCCATGTCCACGTCAGCCACCCCCTTGAACGCGGTCTCGCCACCGCCGCCGCCGCCGCCGCTGCCGCCGCCGGCGAACGCGGCCACGCCCCCGGTACCACTGAGCACGCTGTGGTCGAGCACGCGCCGGCAGAAGGACGGGCCGTCGCTCGCAGCGCAGACGTTCGCGGCGCCCGTCTCCGCTCGCGCGTCCGCGGCGGCGCCGAGCTCGGAGGCGGGCTCGAGCGCGTTCACGCTCCCGCTGCACACGGAGGAGCTCGGGCGGATGCCGCTCCACCCTGGCTTCTCGGGGACGTACACGTCCAATTGGCATCAGCATCAACACCAGCAGCAGCAGCAGCAGCAACAACGACAGCAGCAACAACAACAACAGGTACAACAACAACAGCATCAGCATCAGCAGCAACAACAACAGGCGCAAGCGCAGCTCCGAGAGCTCGCAGACAACGTTGGCGCGGGCGCGGGTCAGGCACACGTCCCGTTCGACCCGCGCATGGTCACGATGTACACCTCGAGCGGGTTCGCGGACATGTTCGGCGGCGGGGAGCCGTCCGCGTTCGCGTCCGGGACGCCCGCAGGTGCGGGCAGCGGGGTCGGTCCGGACATGCAGGCGATGGCCGCCGCGGGCGCAGGAGCTGGGGCGCCGCCGGAGATGACGTCGGAGGAGCTCGCGTTCGCGAACGGGACGCTTGCGATGTGGTCCTCGGCGCCGCATTCGTTCGAGTGAGTGTTTCTTTCTTTTGGTGTTCGTTGGGCGCGACGGTTCTGATCGTTCGGGCGCGCAGGTGGGATGATTGGGGGACGTACATCAACAGCGTGAGCGGGATGCAGAACCCGGGCGCGGTGGGGCCGCATGCACATGGTGGGCCCGGTTCGTGAGGCGCGCGTCTCGTCTTTGTCGCTTCCCGAACCCACGTAGCGTATGTTCTCACACGGCGTCGTGCCTGCTGCACTTGTCCGTCTTCCCGTCTCCGTCTTCCGTCCCTCGGTTGCTTGGCTTACCTATCGTCGCTGCCGTCGAAGCCGAAGTTCTCGTGTTGTCTCTCTCCGCCGGAATGGCGTCCTGTATCTGTAATTTGCCTCTACGCCCCTCTGTACATGAGCAACCATAGATCTCGACTTGGCTAGTGAAATGATGTGACTCGGCCACGGGCAGGCCTGTATCATTTTATCTGCCCAGAAGCATCCGTGCTTTCACTGTACTTTGCGAAGTTGAATCAGCTTGCACGACGACAACGGCCACCACCCATAGACCGTGCTTCAGTCTAAGTCCTCGCTCCCATTGCCAGCTTCGCATGCACCGATGGCGGATCCACCGGATACTCCCTGAAGAGGGATATGCTTAGCTCTCGCGCGCCCCTGCACGTTGCCCTTCGTACTTACCGCAATCTCTCAGTTTGTGGCACACGATACAAGATTCGGGGTTTCACTTTGTGGGGCGCGCTATCTAATCTGGTAGATAGCCGCGGGCGCTGGGCCGCCGCTTCGCTTGGGGAGACAAGTGCATCTTCGGCATTGCCTGTTGACACTTTCCTGCTCGCTCGTAACTTCATGTGTCTCTTCAGGAACCACGACAACATGAACATCGATTTTCTGGGAGACCCTTGGCTGCGGCGAAGCCTCGGTTTGGTGTTTCAGATTTGGGTTGGGAGCGATATGGAGACTTCGCTGTCTGTGGAGGTCTAGGTAGATCTGGTGTGTCCACTCTCTTTTGTGTTCGCTCATAGTCACTCATGCTAGCCGTCTCGTATGCTTTTCAGAAATTCCACGCGCGTGTCGTGCGTGAACAGACGGCTCGCGTGTTTCGTGAGTGAAGTCACAATGCAGTGACACGTCCCGAAGTTCGGCGCAAAGAACAGATGTCAGACACTGTTGTAGGGGCAGAAGACTTCGTAGCACAGGTGCAGTTTCACGTCGAGGCCTGAGGAGCTGTGCGTCCTCTGCTACGGAAGTTCTGTAAGTCCTCCCATCCGTCGCTGCGTTTGAGGTCGTTGCTATGCCCACCCATCCTATAAGGACGCCGAGGTATCTCCTCGTCGCCGTTAGCAAGTCCCCTGTCACTATTGGAAGATTAGGTGTGCCGGTGTTTCCCCTTCAACTGCGTCGCGATGTAGCGCTGATGGAGCTGGGAGCGTTATCCCTGCGAGCAGCGTCTTCTCCCCTCTCACCGACCTTGTCTTCGAGCTCCCACCCCGCCTCGTACTCTCGCGAACTCATTCCTCGAACGCGCACACAGCGCAATGCTACTCCCACCCGACGACGGCTACGATTGCCGCTCTCAAGAAGCACCCTCCCCGCAACCGGCAGAGCCGATGATGCCTTCCGTGTTCGCCGGAAACACTGGGCATGCTCGTAGGGACATGTTCGCTCGTCCGTCGCCCATATATCGCCGCGTCAGCGGCGCTTCGCGCTACCAACACCCTCGGCGGATGTCATGGGATGGGTGAGTGCTACTCGGGGTTGATGTTCGCATCTGCTGATGACGATGTCCAGGTACTGTGCACCTTGACGGAACGCGGCCCCATTGCCGATCGATACAGAGGTGGGATGCGTGTTGGATTGCAGGTGTATTCATGCACTGTTGGTGACGGGAGGTTGATTTGGTGAGTGTCGTCACGCCCTCCGCGCTTGGCTCACGCAAACCTCTGCCCTTAGATACCATCGAACCGTCATCCGCGCCGATGAGCGTGCGATGTGGAGCAACGGAGAACACAGGAACATGCGATGAGTGTTCGATGTCCATTTGAACGAATGAGAGAGGGGGCATTAAGCGGTTTAAAGGCGGCTCGAGACATGCGCTGCGACCACTGTGCGTAGACCTAATGAATGTTCTTTGTATAACTTCACTTTGCGGGCCGTGGTGGCTATGAAAACGACACTGAAGATTCTCGCTCCTCGACGCCATGTTCCTCGCCACCCTGCTCGTCGCCCTGTGCATCGCGCTCACCTTCATCTCCGCGCTCATCGTCATCACGCTCGGCCGCGCGTCCCCGGCCCTGGGCCGAAGCCGACGAAGATCATTACCGTGTTGTCCGTCGGCACGCTCGCGCTGGGATCTCGCCGGGTCGGTATGGTTCATCGCGGTGCTCATTGAGTGGCGTGCGACGAGGTGGACGAAGGCGGTCCCGTATGCTGTCGTGGCGTCGGCGTGGTGTGTGTGGCTGCTGGGGATGAGGATGGTGCTGGTCGTGGGGGGCGTGACGGAGGTCGGTTCAGCGCGAACAGCCTCGAATTTTCGTCATCGGGATTGGGGTCGTTGCGTTTGCTATTGTGTTTTCATCGCGCGGCTAGTGCAAGCGGAGAAGGACACGGTGATAAACAGCGTATTTTTGGCCGCTGTGGGCGGTACTCAACCTGCTGTTGATGCCACAAATTTGCAAGGTGGAAGATGTATGGCAAATGCCAGAAACTTGGCAGCAATGCATGCCGTCCGCACTAATATATCCGACGATTACGTCATGCACCTGCCTCATGCCTATCGCACGCGGCAAAAGCGAGGAACTCAACCAGGCGGCCTTTGCCTCCGATCCCTCTGTCACTGCATCGCTACCCCTGTTCTTTCTCGCAATCTACTTGCTTTCTACCACATCTGAGCTTACGACCGACCAACCTTTTGCCCACCTTTGGCACTCGTCCAACGTGCTTCAACGTGCTTCATATCCACTGCCCTACCGACAATCACTACCGTACCACCACACCGCCCCTACTAGTGTTTGATCCTACACAACACCGAGGGCCGCACCCGCTCCGGCTGCCGATAACACAGATTCAAAGGGTCAAGAACGCGGCAGCGAGGCTGGGATCAGCTCGTGTCCCTCGAGGAGAGGCCTGATATTATAGGATATATGTGCGTGTATAGCTGTCATATGCAGTGGGTCGTGACCGACAATAAAACGCACACCCCACAGCTGTACAATGTGGCTTCTAAGCACGAAGACAGGGAGGCTCACGTACTACTCATCTGTGCACAAGGCCCCCAAGTACGCTATCCTTTCACACGTCTGGCGACTTCCCGAAGAAGGCGGGGAGGACTCATTCCAACTCGTCGAAGCGTATGCGAAAAAATGCGACCGCAAACATCTCATCAACCGTGGCACCGCTACGCCTCGCGATTTCCTCAGTGACAAAGTCCGCCGGTTTCTTATCGGGGCAGCAGAAGCGGGCTTGGACTTTGCCTGGTGCGACACGTGTTGCATCGACAAGACGAGCAGCGCGGAGCTCTCCGAGGCGATCAACTCCATGTTCGAGTACTACGCCCGGGCGCACGTTTGTGTTGCCTATCTCGCTGACGTTGCGCCCGTCAAGGGTCGAGAATACTACGGCGACCAGATCATCGATTCTAGCTCGGCCCGCATCCCTTCCAGCAAGTGGTTCCACCGCGGATGGACACTCCAGGAGTTGCTCGCGCCTCAGGTCGTCGTATTTCTCGCCAGTGATTGGTCCAGAATCGGGACGAAGTGCGACCTAGCGGAGTTCCGCTTTATGACTAGTGTTCTTCCTGCCTCCATTCTTCGCTGCGAACAGGACCTCTCGGACATAAGCGTCTCTGTACGCTTGTCGTGGGCTTCGCAGAGACAGACAACGCGCTGGGAGGACCAGGCATACTGTCTTTTTGGGCTCTTTGGAATTAACATGCCGACGCTCTATGGCGAAGGCGGCAATGCGTTCTACCGCCTCCAGGAAGAGATTCTGAGGACACACCCTGATTTTTCTTTATTCGCATGGGACTATGAAAGGGAAAAACGTCATGCTTACTTGCGCCGTCTCTCCGTCACTTCTGGAATGCAGCCAGTACTGAATACAACAAAGTATGTACTACTACCACTGGTGCAATCGTCGTGTTGACACCCTCTTTAGCAATCTAGTCTCACCATCTCCGCTGTCAACATTGAAGAGAACTTACCGAAAATCGACACAATTACCCCGACCGGGTTGCGCGCAGGAATGATGCTGCATGCCTTCAAACTTTCCGATCAGTACCTCGCCGATATCTCCTGTGTTTCTCTGAACGAACCTGTCTTCCTCATCCTACGCCGTGTTTCTTCTCGTGCAGTACTGGAGGAGAACTACCCCGTCTACCACGTCGTTGGCATCGTGAAGAGGCCCTCCACAAATCCCGATGGCATATCACAGATCGACTTGACCTGCGGTTGGATCCCCATGAACGTCTGTATCCCCTCCGCGACCAGCACCGCTCACTCAAAACAGACCGTCACGCCTCGTTTCTCGCGCTCGCCCGTGGCCATCCACCCATCGTATTCCCGTCGATAGAAGAGATGGAGGATCAAGTCAAAGCCTGGGTGTCATTGACACAGGTGATTGTCACCAATCATGCACTATGGACCAGTTCGAAGCCCGTCACCCTCGAGTTCACCGCCCCGGGAAGAGCGATGGACCGATATCGGTGACGCTTGGCGTGTGCCGTGCATCAACGAATGGCACGGACGATTCGCCAATTAGCAGCTCGACGCAGTTGACCGTCGACGTGAGTGGTGGCGGCGTCTATGGCCAGCGGGTGGAGTGGGAGTGCCGTGCTGGGGATGGCCCTGTGTCGAAGGGAGCCTGCGGTTCTCATTACCATGCGCCGCCATGGAACGCCGCACGCCAGGAACGGACAAGATGGAGTTTTGGGGGGCACAGGTGCCACTGCGCATATGGTTCACGCGCGCCGTCGGTCTGGGCCATGGGGGGACCCGCACGACAATCCTTTTGAATTCCACATCGAATGGCTCGTGAGTCAACCTCATGGCATGTCTTCGGTGGAGACGTGGTGCTGATCCGAGTGATTATGCTTGCAGACACTATAATCCTATGGCTCACCCGCCAGCACTGGAAACACGCGCGCGCACGTGGGGGCTGATGGTCCTGGTTTCTCTATATATTGTGTACTAGTCGCTCAGTGTTAATGAACCCGAAGCTGGCGAAAGCGTCCGCTGAGAAGTCCAGGCGGCGGCGGCGGGGAGGGGGAGGAGTGGCGGATGACGTGCGCGGCGGAGAAAGACCGGTACCGTGCGGTGTGTTTGAGTGAGGAGGTTGCGAAGATGAATTCAGTCTTATGTATACACCGTGCGCCTCGAAAGCAAGAGTAGAACGTACCGTGCCAGAGACGATGAATTCATGTACGATCTTGCCGGAACTGAGGGTCTCGCTTTACCTCTCAGGGAGGAGGGGTAAAGCTGAGCGAGCTGCTCTGCGTGTCGGGGCGAGGTATCCCGCCAACATTCAGCATATCGGCATCCTCGAGGCCGGGGTGGGACGACGAAGTTGGCGACGGTCAGAGAACAAGCCGCGGCAACGCGTGTTGACGCCGACCGTGGGGCTCACCGTTCGACTGTGCTCGTTAGCTGCCTTCTTCTTCTTACAAACCACCATCCTCGGCGTTCCGCGACCACTTCTCATCCGGCTCTCTCTTCCTTACATATGTACTGGTTTGCGTCTGCCGCGATCCAACTAAGCCTTATCCACAGCGCCCAGAGCAACCTCGCCGACGCTCTTTGCAATCATCGCCTCGCCGGCCTAGACCAGAGGTGTCCCCCCGATTCGTCCCCTGGCAGAGCGCACCGACCAGGACGTGCCGCGCAGGGTGAAGACACGCTAGCCGGATGGTTCCGCTGGCGGGTGGTTGCCCGACTCGATTGCAAGGTGTGTTCTCTCTTCTTCCCCCAATTCCGTCCCCCGCCGACGCGTCTGGGCACTTCCAGAGTTCGGCACCATCCTCATCCTCGCCGCCGCCTCCTTCGACCGCACCGTGAAGATATAGGAGCAGACCCAAACATGACGCTCTACGCGAACTCGGTGTCTGTTGTCGCGCACGCGCTACAACAGTAGGCGCAGCAGACTCTATCTCCTGCATGCTACGTCTGTTACCCGGCTCGACATGTGTCCGTGATCTGATCTCATTCACGCACAGGCCAATGGTGAATGGAACGTCCCGTGGTGTAAGGACAACTACTGGAGCAAGGCCATCGCGGTCGGGTGCGGTATCAACATTGTCGTCGGGGTACGTACCTCTAATCTACTCATGCGCGTTCGTCCCCGACCACGTGCCCAAATATCCCCATTCCGCCGCCACACCACCCTCCTCAACCTCAACCGCGCCGCTTCTCTGCTTGACCGCGACCTGTTTACACCTCCCTCGGCCTCCAGAGAAGAGCCCACAACTGCAAAACGTTCATCGTCACCTCCGTCGCCCCTGTTCTGCGAGCAGTCGTACCACTTCGTCGCGACCGGCGCGCGACTCGCGCGTCCGGATATAGCCCTCGGAGCTCCCCAAACCTAACGAAGACTTGGGAGGATGAAGTGGCCGCGGGTGAGGATGCAGCAGTGGAAGGGACGGTGGACCGTGAGCGTCGTCGGCGACAGGTGGCGGGTAAAGTGGGACATCACTAGGTGTGTCTGACCTCTCTGAGGTATGTCGTGCGGAGAGGCTTATGCACGCGTGGCGGTAGGGCGACAGTGTCGGACAGGTGGATGCACAACAATCAGACGTCGACATAGCGGAGGATACGTCTTGGATTGGGCGTTGGGAGGAATAGGTGACCGTTGTTTGTACATGTACGTGACTCGCTGGTGAGTATTCGCTTCACTCTCTGTCCTTTGTTTCCCTCGCTCAAAAGCACTTTCTCTGCTTGCACAGGTACGGTTTACGGCCGTGCCTTTACCTTGTCGGCGGACACGCGCTGGCAGGAGGGCCGTCCGCCGCTCACAGAGAGTGGAGGCGGGCGTGGGCGCCTTTATATTCCTCCTGGACGACTCCGGGCGTGTCACACGAGCAAAAGCAGCAGCAGCACCGGACACCATCAGACCCACTCCAGCCGGGCGCGGTACCCAGCACATGCACCTCCACCGCTCCGCCGAGGTCCTTGAGACGGAGGACTCACCAGATGCTCGCTCTGTTTTCACCGCCTCGAAGAACCCCCACACTTCAGAACTCCGTGACGCTCCCGAAAGCCTTGCAAGCTTAAGTTTTACGTTCTCAGCGAATGCGTAGATACACTCACACGCATTGGATGCCGCCCCGCTTTACACAGCCTTCCTTTGATCTCTGCAGGTGGTCGTCGAGGATATTGTGTGTCCGACATGGAGCTACGGAGGACGGCGGAACACATGATGAGTGTAGATGTCCCGCTGAACATCTGGTAGAGGGGACATTGAGAGGTTTGGAGTACTACGCTATGACCACTGTGCTTAGACACAATTTTGATGAATGTCCTTTGTGTAGCTTGACTCTGCGGTTTGTCGTGGCCATGAAGATGACACTCAAGATGCTTGGCGCGTGTGGCGACGATGTGGTCGCGCATCGGTTTGCTGGTATATAACAGGCGACCCTCTTACTTGTTTCTCCACCCCTGTCCTTTCGAAAACTCACTCCTTTGCCAGCTCGGCTTGATGTCGATTTTTCCCGCCAATCGTCGACAACGACGCTCGTTCCGCCAGCGCGCCCGCACTCTCCACTGCGCTCCCACCGCTTGAAGCGGTCTATCCCCATCCAGGACCACCACACCCGCGATGTGGAGAACTTCGCCATGGTCGGTCTCAGACAGGACGCCATCCCATTCCCGCGACACCAGTCTAGGTCGAACAGGCCGGTGCCTCGGATCTCAACATGGCGCACGAAATTCAAAGTCACCCGTCTGGTCGCGGGCGACACATTCGCGAACACGTTCCTGGCCCGCTCCCTTCTCCACGCTCTCCTCCTCGCCACCGCGCTGCTCGCCCTCTGCGCCGCGCTCACCTTCGGCCTCGCGATCGGCGTCACCGCGGTCGGCCGCTGGGTGCTCGAGACCAAGGCGCACCCCGGCAAACTCACCACGCCGCTGGTCCGCGCGACGGCCGTCGGCTCCGCGGTGCTCGCCACCGCGGCGTTCTTCCTCGCCGTCGCCATCGGATGGCGCGCGGAGTGGCGGCGGGCTTGTGCGGCGGAGCGGCCTGGGCGCGCTCGGCGCGCGAGGAACCTGAGGTGGCTGCGCTGGGTGCCGTTCTTCGTCGCGGTGGCCGCGTGGTTCGCGGGCGCGGTGGGGATGGCG